CTTAGGAATAAACTTAACCAAGGAGATTAAAGATCTCTGCTCTGAAATCTTTAAAACCCTGATGAAAGGAATTAAAGAAGAAACAAATAAATGGAAAAGACCCCATATCAATGGATTGAGACAATTAATATTGTTAAATTGTTAATACCACAAAAAGACATCTATAGATTCACTGCAGTCTGTCAAGATTCCAATTGCATTTTTAAGTGGGAAAAAACAATCCTAAAATTTGTATCAATTCACAAAGTACCCTGAATAGCCAAAGCAGTTCTGAGAAAGAAGAACCAAGTGGACAGAATCACACTTCCTGATTTTAAGCTATTCTATAAAGCTATTGTAACCAAAACAATATGATAATGGCATAAAAACAGACAAATAGATCAATGGAACAGAACTGAGAGCCTAGCATAAATCCAAATATATACAGTCAACTAGTACTTTACAAAGGAACCAAAAATACTCAATGGGAAAAAGATAGTCTCTTCAATAGATGGTGTTGGGAAAATTGGATTTTCATATGTGAAAGAATGAAATCAGACTCCTATCTTACACCACTCACAAAAACTAAGTTGAATTGAAATGGGTTAAGGACTTGAATGTAAGACCTGAAATTATGAAACTTCTAGAAGAAAACATAGGGAAAAATCTTGACATGGATCTTGGCAATGATTTTTTGGATGTGACACCTAAAACACAAGCAATGAAATAAAAAAACAAGTGGGGCTACATCAAACTAAAATGCTTCTTCACAGCAAAAGACATGATCAACAGAGTGAGAAAACAAACAGTATTGTAAATCAACTACACTTCAGTGAAAAAATAAACTTTAAAAATTAAAGGAAGCTAGGGTGAAGAATGGAGATTCAGCCATTTTGTTTAGTAACTTGTTGAACAGACAAAACAAAACAACAACAACAAAAAAAACCCCCAGCAACCTGTGAATGAAAAAAAATGTACTATACATCTGATAAGGGGCTATGATCCAAAATATGTAAAGACTTCATACAGCCCAATAGCAGAAAACAAATATTCCAATTAACAAGTGGGCAAAAAATACGAATAGACAGTTTTCCAAAGAAATTATACTTAAAAGGCCAGCAGGTACACGAAAAGATGCTCAACATCCCTAGTCATTAGGGAAATGCAACCTCAGACCACAATGAGAGATCACCTCTTGCCTGTTAGGGGTGGTCATCATCAAAATGGCAAGAGACAGCAAGTGCTGACAAGGATGTAGAGAGGAGGGAGCCCTTCTGCCTTGTTGATGGGACTGCAGACTGGCGCCGCCGCTGTGGCAAACTGTATGGAGGGTCCTCAAAACGTTAAAAACGGAACTACCATATGACCAGCAATTTTGCTGCTGAGAATATATCTAAAGGAGACGAAAGCAGTAATTCCAAAAAATACCTGCACTCCCATGTTGAAGCAGCCCTGTTTACAGTAATCAAGGCACAGAAACAACCTAAGTGTCCTTAGTGGATAAATGTATAAAGAAGTTGTGAAATACATCCAATGTAATGTTACACAGTCAAAAAAATGAAATTCTGTAATTGCAACAGCATGAGTGGACCTTGAGGATATTATGCTAAGTGAAGTAAGCTAGTCACAGAAAGACAAATACCGTATGATTCCGCTTACCTGTGGTGTATTTAGAGTCGCCCAGTTCTTAAAGACAGAAAGTGGAGTAGTGGTTGCCACTGTTGGGGGAGGAAGGAATGAGAAGTTGTTGTTTACTGAGTATAGAATTTCAGTCTGGATGATGAAAACTTCTGGAGATGGATGGTAGTTTGGTTTCACGACAGTGTGAATGTACTGAATGCCATAGGACTGTAATATTTAAGAATACTAAAAGTGGTAAATTTTATGTTAAATGTTTTACTATAATAAAAAAATGATAATTCACATATAAATGTGAATAGTGGAAGTGCCCTCTTTACTTTTTTTCTGCCTGGCGAACTTGCACTTACCTTTATTATCCAACTGCACCATCACATTCTTAGTGTTAGATTTGCACGGAGAAGTGCAAGTCAAAAGTACAATGAGATATCACCTCACATCAGTCAGAATGGCCATCATTAAAAAGTCTGTAAGTGATAAATGCTGAAGCGGGTGTGGAGAAAAAGGAGCCCTCATCCACTGTTGGTAGAAATGTAAATTGGTGCAGCCACTATGGAGAACAGTATGGAAGTTCCTTAAAAAAAAACTAAAAATAGACTTAGATGATCCAGCAATCTCACTCCTGCACATCTTTCTGGAGAAAACTCTTAACTTGAAAAGATACAAGAACCCTAATGTTCATAGCAGCTCTATTTACAATAGCCAAGACATGGCTACCTAAATGGTCCATCGAAAAATGATTGGATAAAGAAGTTGTGGTAAATACACACACACACACAGAAATGTTAGCCATAAAAAATGAAATAGAATCAAATAGTGCCATTTGCAGCAACATGGATTGACCAAAAGAGATCATCATATTAAGTGAAGTGAGACAGTAAAGGACAGATATTATATGATATCACTTATAAATGGAATCTAAAGAGAAATGATACAAATGAACTTATTTACAAACCAGAAATAGTCTCACAGACATAGAAAACAAATGTATAGTTATCAAAGGGGAAGGTGGGGGAGGGATAAATTAGGAGTTTGGGATGAACAGACACACACTACTATGCATAAAATTGATAAACAGCAAGGACCTACTGTACAGCACAGGGAACTACATTAAATATCTTGTAATAACCTATAATGGAAAGGAATCTGACAAAGAATGTGTGTGTGTGTGTGTGTAACTGAATCACTTCGCTGTACACCTGGCACTAACGCAACATTGTTTATCAATTATACTTCAATTTAAAAAAAAAAGCAGTTCTACCTCAATAAAGCTGGAGTTGGGGTAGGGGAAAGGAAATAGATAAATAAACTTGTGTGTCCATAAAATAAAATAATACAATAAAAGGGAACAAAGTATTGATTCTCAAAGTATGGATGAATCTTAGCTCTGTTTTGCCAAGTAAAATAAGCCACTTATGTGACATTTTTCAGAATGACGAAACTGTTGGGAAGGAAGACCGAGCAGAGTTTACAGAAATTGGTCAGGGAGAGGAATTGACTAGAAGAGGGTAGCAAGGAGGGAATTTGGGGGGCGATGGAACTGTTGTGTTTGGTTTTGTGGTGGTGGATAGTGGTGCATTATGTCTTCCCCTAGAACTGTACAAGGAATACATTTTGTGTGTAGACATGTTTTAAGTATTAACCAAGATATGGGGAATACAGGTTATAATTCAGACTATACCAAATCGATTTAAATCTTTTCCAAATGAACTGCATAACCATTGTGAAGAGGGTCAGGAAGAAAGGAACTGACCTGAGTAGCTCTGGAAAACACTGTGCTCTAGTAGGTAGATTTCTTTCTCACATGAGCATGGGCTGCTAATTCTGAAACTAGTATATATGTTTACTAGACTTGAACAAATCCATCAATAAATATATTGTACGTAACGAGAGCTGGGTTTCTCACTGTTGAGGAAGTGCAAATAAGCAAAGACAGAGGCTGGAATGAACCTTGTCGTGCTGGCTTGGGTTGGAGATAGCAATGAGCTCATGAGGAGGTGGGTAAGGAGTGATGGATAGATGGATGCATATACAAATAAATACAGATGTATGTATGTACGTCAATTAGTGTACATGTTTGTATGTGTGTATATATATATAAAAAACTGAAAAAATATGAAATAAGAATAAAGTCTGAAGTTTGTTCTTAGTATTGTACTGTTAATTTCTTCATTTTGACATTTTTACTGTGGTTACATAAGATGTCAACATTGGGGAGATTGGGTGATGGGCGTAAGGGAACTCTGTACTACCTTTACAAATCTAAAATGATCTAAAAATAAAATTAAAAGTAAAACATAGATGCTAGAGTCCAGTGTTATTCTAATATCTCTTGCAACTACTTATCAAACACCAATGGAGAAAAAAGGCTATTTTTCTCTGATAATGAAAAACACTTTTAATGATTGTTAGGCTTGTGGTTTATTTTAAATATATTTTGGTGGTGGTTATTTTGGTTAAAGTTTTAATAAAAGATTCAGTATTCAAAGTTTAATAAACAGTGAAACCAAAGATGATTCAGGACATTAAAACAGATGAACTAAGACAAATGCTGTTACTCGAATGCTGTATTTTCCATCAGTGTATCAGCTTATAAACTTCTACTCTTCCCTCTTCTCTGTGAACCCAACGTGACCATCCATTTTCCACCTCCTTCATATTTGATGTACATTATAACTCAGAGTTAAACTCGCTTTGCTTGAAGAAACAAGGGTTCAAAAAGGCGGCTGAGCAATTAGCAGCTTTCTCAGTTGGTGACAGATGCCCCCCCTCTTTATGGCGATTGGGAAAGGAGTAGCTGTAAGATTCCAAATCACTGTGCACGGCGCCGCCACCCTAACCCACTGGTAGCTTTACCTGAGGTGGTGATATTAGAGATTAACCTGGTTATTTGGCAGATACAGTCCAATATTGCTCACTGGACTTAATCCATTATTTGTCATATTCTCTATGCTTGGCACCATGCTGGACTGTGCAGAAATCAAAATTGTGATCTCTGCCAAAGAACTTCCACTTGTTTGAAAGAAGACAAACTGTAGTGGGTGGAAAGTGCAGATGCTTCAGAGATTTCTCAGTCATATCCTCACTGTTTCTCCCTTTAATCACTAGATCTGTGGTTTGGTGTATTTATCTAACCTCGGGTCTATTTCCTTATCTATGATCGAGGATACTAATGTCAGTCTAACAAGACTGCCATGATTACTAATGTCTGGCACACAGAGACCTTTAGTGAACCACAGCCGTTCTTATCATGGTGGTTACCAAGACTTACAGTCCATTAGAAAATATAGTGGTTTACTACACTAAATAATTTTGTTCATTGAACATTGTGTTATTCACAGTATTCAATCTCTGTATTCAATCTTTGTGTTCTCTCACCTTAGAGATGATGAAGAGAAAAAAAAGTCTCCGTCAGAAGGTACTGATGAGAAAGCTAATGGAACACATCCGAAGACCCTCAGCCGTATTGGGAGCACGACCAACCCATTCTTGGACATTCCTCACGACCCAAACGCTGCTGTGTACAAAAGTGGGTTCTTGGCCCGGAAGATCCACGCAGATATGGATGGGAAGAAGAGTAAGCATCATTTGTTGACATTTTCTATTTCATTTATTTCCTCTATTATTTCCTTTATTTCCTTAAGGTAGGCTCAAAACTTCCAGTGAATTTACCTGAAGTAAATCAAGGGATAAAGAAAAATTATATTATGTTTCTCTAGAGAAGTGTTAATTGAAGTTAGATAAAGCCTTTCACCCTTGGTCAGAAAGACACGGTGGCGCCTGGTCTTCTCCAGGTAGTTACAGAACTTCCAAACTGGAAGACTTCTTACAGATGATTCTTTTCCAGCCTTTATTCAGTTATTTATTTTTGTCTTCAACAAATAATTTTGAGTACCCTGCTATGTGCTAGGCGTCAAAAATACAGTAGTGTGTAGAATGGACAAGGTCCCTGTCTTCATGGAGTTTACGTTTCTGGTGGTTGAAGGAAAGGCTGAATTTGTGGCACATAGAATGATAAATAGCGTAAGGTCCTTGAGACCAAGCAGGGAGGGATGGAATTGGGATCCAGGCACGTGTGGAGTACTGGCCTCTGTGGGGGACAGACGGGCGTGGTATACTTCATGCTGCGAAACTGAATGGGTCCCATGTGACGGCTCTGTGAACATGACACATGATTGACTACTGACGCATAATGTTGGAAGTTTGAGTGAAATGGAGTATGTTCCTACATTTACATAATAATCTGCGGGGTGTGAAACAGCAGCTTGATATATTGAACAGGCCATGATGAGCTGATCTGTAGGCTCAGAATTAGGCCACACCTGTAGGGTATCCCTGCCCACCTACAGACACAGACACGTAGTGTGGGATGGACAGTACCGCGGTTCCCTCTGTGGCTGGGTGCTTTTTTCGTAGTGTATTAGCATATTCTTTTAGAGCACAGGCCAGGGAAACATTGTAGTAGAGGAGCTTTGACCCTGACTTACGGTTTCCAAGTTCCATAGGAGTATCCCCACCGTGCTTCCTGTGCACCCTCTCCACCAGCCAGCTAGACTACTTCCTCTTCTCTAACAGCGGGTGTCAGGACTCTGGTGGTGGCCAGTGACAGTAGTTCTAACAGTTCAGGGGAAAAGGGCAAGGACACGTCTGAAGATGAAGGATTGTCTCCAGGACGTTTTCTGCATGTCTTCTCTACCTTATTTTGCATATTACATGTATTCTTTTTTTATTGATGTATAGTTGATTTACAATATTTTATTAGTTTCGGGTGTACAATATAGTGATTCAAAATTTTTATAGATTACATGCTCCATTTATATTTGTTATAAAATATTGGCTATAATTCCCTGGGCTGTTCAACACATCTTTATTATATTTATTTTACACATAGTAGTTTGTACCTTCTAATCCCCTACCCCTATCCTGCCCCTCCCCCCTCCCACTGGTAACCACTGGTTTGTTCTCTATATCTGTGAGTCTGTTTCTTTTTTTTATTATTCTTATTTTTTATTGAATTGCAGTCAATTTACAATTATTAGTTTCATGTGTACAGCAAAGCAACTCAGTTATACATATATATATACATGTATATATATTTTTTCAATTCTTTTCTATTACAGCACATTACAAGAAATTGAATATGGTTCCCTGTGCTGTGAGTCTGTTTCTTTTTTGTTGTATTTATTCATTTAATTTTTGAGATTCTACAAATGTGATAAAATACAGTATTTGCCTTTCTCTGTATGACTTACTCCACTAAGCATAATACCCTACAAGTCCATGCGGGTGGTTGAAAATGGCAACATTTCATTCTTTTTTATGGCTGAGTAGTATTGCAGTACCCCACTGTGTGTGTGTCTGTGTGTGTGTGTATACACACATCCATACCACATCTTCTTTATCCAGTCATCTGTTGATGGATACTTAGGTTGCTTCCATGTCTTGGCTGAAAAGTCAGCTGATGGTTTTACGGGAGATCCCTTATAAGTAACTCATTGCTCTTCCCTTGCTGCTTTTAATATTCTATCTTTATCTTTAATTATGGCCATTCTAATTACAGTGTGTCTTGAGGTGGTCCTCTTTGGGTTGGTCTTATTTCGGCCTCTTTGTGATTTCTCAACCAAGAAGTCTTTCCTTTCCCAAGTTAGGGAAGTTCTCCGCTATTATGTATTCAGATGTGTTCTCTTCCCCTTTCTCTCTCCCTTCTGTTTCCAGGACCCCTTCAATGTGAATGTTAGTACACTTGCTGTTGTCTCAGAGGTCTCTTAAAGGGTCCTCACTTCTTTTTATTCTTTTTTCCTCTCTCTGTTCTGCTTCGGTGATTTCCACTGCTCTGTATTCCAGCTCACTGACTTCTTCCTTTGTATCATTTAGTCTACTC